CTCTAAAAATTATGATTGAAAACTTATGCAAATTGGTATACATGCTTAAAACACTTTATGTAAGGCGATAGACTATTTACTAATTGATAAATGCATTTTTTATAAAGTTATTATGTATGAAACATGAATTTTAATGAGAAAATATGCTTTTCCTTTGTTATATTACACATACTAGCTTAAACATTTTTAAGTAACTTCCAAGCTTTAAAATAATAGTCTGCCTCCTTGAGAATATCATTATGATGGGTTTGCATTTTTACAAAATATGAAAATGTATTGTACTTTTTTAACACAGTGTTTATAATTTATTGTAAATATTGCTGTTTTTTTGCTTGTTTTCTTTCTTTACTCCAAAAATACAAAATTAATGGTCATTAAATAACTCAGCCTCTTCATTTCTTTCATCATTAATTACTTTAAAGCCAAAATTAAATGAACAAACTTAAAAATTTAAAAAAAAGTGTTTAAGGTATACAGCCCCCTTATTACCTCTTTAGTTCTCGTACACTTAAATAATTTTCAATAGTTCATTTAGAGATTTTGAGGGAATAGTTTTATAGGCTAGGGTGATTCTGTGATATGTTAAGCTTCTCCAAAAGTGCCATTGATGGTACTTGGATTGAGCATTTGCATTTAGTTCTTCTTTTTGGGAAATCTATCTAAGAAGCCTTTTGCTTTTTATTTGCCTAAAACGCTTTAAAGAGTAAAATTTGCTCAACTTCATGCGTTAGCCCAAATTCTATTTGCCATCCATTCAGATACATCTAGAACATTTTACTCTGACATGTTTGGAACTTTGGAATCAGTTCAAGAAGTTGTATAGTCACTTGCCTACCCGATGCGCTCTATCTTACAGAAGATAATCAACCATTCATTTTCAAGTTACTTATGCCATAATCCTAAGCAACTGACTATCTTCTCTCAAATAAAATTCTATATTTTCTTAGCAGTGATTGCGAGTAAACGTGCGTCAAACGTTACGAAACATAAAGTTTAGAAATTTTAATTAATGATTTAAATGACGTAATAACTAACTATAATTTTGTGAACGCTCATAAATACAGAAACATTTATGACAAAAGTGTTGTTATTCTTACTATCTTCTAGTTAGTGCAAGTTAGTGTTACTTTTAGTTACTGTTAGTTTCAACAGTTTACGTTATAGTTTAGACAGGTAAATGATTTTCATCCTCGGCTTGAGGGAATAATTTAGCATCTAAGAAGAATGTTGCCAATTTTCAAGCGTAATTTGAGGTTACTTTTAATTAAGAGCAAACATTGCTGGTACGGCTTCTTTTAAATAAAATATGCTATAAAGACAGTTAAGTCATGAAGGGTAGTAATGAAAATAAATTCAAAAAACAAGCATGGCGACTGCAACGACTAAAATGTGAAATGCAAACTTCTGAAAGAAACTCATTGTTTGGTTCGGGAAAATTTCACTCTTTTGTTATCCTTTGTGATGTAGAAAGAAAACGAAAATATTTTCCGGAGAGAAAACGCATGACTGAAATTAGAATAATAGGCATAAGTTCTTGTAAAGGTATCTTTAAGCAGATTGCATTTGTTTTTATATTTAGAAGTTGTTAAGTATTAATATTTTAAATTGCCTGACTTATTTATCTTAACTTTCTCACTTTCATTGGGGACGACACAAACGAAAATATTTAGAAAAACGAATATCTACTACAGATAATATTCTGAAAACTGTGAACTTCTCTATTGTATAGGGAATGAACTGGTTGATTGATCTAACTCAAATCAAATTACAAAATGTTTCCTTAAAATCAATTAGCTCTAACAGAATTTAAATTCACACTTACTAAAACAATACCCTGAAAAAAAAGAGCAATAAATCTTCTCTGGTGCTTGGGTAAACAGAATGCCATCTCCCGAAACAAAACCATTTCTTTCCGTTCACCAAAGCACATATTCATCATTCACCTCACCAGAAAGCATCAAGTAAGAGACTCAGAATCTCAATAATTTTGAAATAACGAAAAGCATATGGATGGTGAAATCGAGATGAACCCTATGTCACACAGGTGAGTCAGATGTCACATTTCCACGAGAACTGCATACCGTGTAGAAAAGGACCAATTAACTAGAACAGGGAGACGATCGAAAATTAAGCCTTTGAAGAGACGGCTCGACCTGAGCGATGACCCAAAGATGAATTCTTCTCTCACTACCTGAACCAGGTGTGCTGGATGCTAATAACAAATATTTAATGATTTGGTATACTAAGCTCGGCACTATTTTCGAGTTCTATGGAGATTATGCGGAGATGCAGGGTGAAGCGGAAAACTCGGATATAAATCTCGCAGTAAAAATGCTTTTTCGGTAGAAAGAAAACACATCCTTAGGCCACTTGCGCGGGCAAAGCCCTCAGCAGGGTAAATGACCTCGAACCCTTTATTTGAACATTACAGCTTCAAAAACTCAAAACTAACTGCAAAACACTCTCGCACAAGCCTCGAAGTAAACTCAGTTTCTCCACCCACTAAATATCACAGGCTAAAAATTAAACATAAAATGAAGTTTGACCAATCGTAAGAACTTCTCGTTTAATACTTGACTCCCGTCAACAGATAGAAATAAGAGGAAAGGTTCATTTACGAGGCACTTAAGCTTATAGCCTTTATCCCTACATCATCGATTATAATTATCATCAAAAAGAGGGTTCCGCTAAGAGGTAAAACATTTAGGGCCAAAATGTTAAATATAACAAATGATTAACTGCCTTCCACAGTGAAAAAAGGTAAAATCACTGAATGCCTTAATTTAATAATTTTGATATCGAAAAAAAGGGCCAGAATCAATTTTGAAGGGGTTACATCCTGAATTTAGAAAAGCATCGAACTTTCCTTGATCAATGGTCTTGTGGTGTTAACAACACGAAAGAGGAAACACTCGCGAAACAGCTTTCACGTCGCAGATGCTTCAGGTCTGGGAGAGGGGGGGGGAAGCGGGAAATCGTTAGGCGAGTTAGATTTAAAGAGAAATCGCCAGAAGTTTCTCCTCAGAGGCATTTCTCGCCATTTCTCTTTAAATCCAACTCGCAATTCTAACTCAGAATATTATCTGTAGTAGATATTTGTTTTTAGTGGCATGAGAAATAGTAATAATTAACATAAAATTCTCTTAAAGAGATTAAGTTTGAATGTGAAACTGAAAGAGCAGCAAATTCACTCAGGCGGGGGGGGGGACGTGAACTAGTAGAGTGATAACTTCGAGGCTCCTCGTTTCCATTGCAACGCCTCTTTGGAAACGGTAACGCATTATATGCGCTCTCCAGAGTAGATCTGGGTAGTTTACTTGATGACGCAATTCCCGGATGATAGATAGGCAGGCTGTGGAGAACGGGGTTTCCGATCGAAGGAATTTTTTTGCAAAAGTTAACCTAAAGTTGCTGTACAAAGAGACTGAAAGGGTGTATTTAACTATGCAAAGCATACTAGGGCTATCTGCCTAAGGGGAGAGATGCCTTCGTGAAGGACTTTCTAAAAGAATCTGGCTCGTATACACGTTACACATGGGGAAAACCACGAAAACGCCCATGCAGCCAGCCCGTTCGCGGGATTCGAACCTCGGACCGAACTACCAGTGTTCAGCGACTTTACCGCTCGGCCGCTGGTTTGCCGGACTGAAAGAGAGGATTTTGGCTGCGTTATGAATGTCCTCGTTTGTAGCAAACCAAGGAGCTTTGTAAATTTGCAGCAGCATATTATTTTGGAAATTTTGGATATGTTTCCTGTTAATAATTGCTGTTGCACCCCATATGAGACTAGTATAAGTCAGAATTGGCCTTATTTGTGGAGCAAAATCTTGTTTTTATGGAAAAGTTTCTTTTACTAACGAAAAATGGCAGTAATTGGGATTTGACAACCTTCGCATTCAAAATTGTTTTTTGAATGTGAGGTTGCTAAGTTAATTTTGAATCAAGTATCACTCCTAGATACTTATAAGCATGAACCCAGGGAATTGATTTAAATAGAAATAGAGACGCAGGTTAAAGACCTCAGCTGGAACAACGGAGTCCCCCAACCGCGTGACAAACTACGTTCGACCCCAGTTAACAAGCAAAGAAGGAGAGATTTGATCAATGCTGCCCTTACAATAAGAAATTTACAGAGGCCTTTTCGTTCCAAAGAAACTCATTTAATCAACGCTTTCAGCATTTACAAAGAAAAGTGAAGCAAAGACGTTAATTAAATCATTCTTTGCAACCCAGTAAAGGAAACCCCTGCAGTGCATAGAAACTAAAGAGCTCTCTGTTGTCGTAAAGGCTATTCACATTCAGTTAGGGTACACTAAGAACTCCTGCTTTCGATCAGATGTTCCAAACAAAAAAGCGCCCCCTATCTCTGTTAGAAAGCCTATCCATCGAAAAACAAATAGAACTAAAGATTTTAACTGCTACAATATAAATTTCCACTACATTTTTATAACAATTTCAATTAGATAAAATCCCTAAATATTGATTAATTAAATTAAATAAGTACGATTAAAGTTTGCGACACAGCAGTTTATTATTGAGAAGTATTAAAATTTTAGGAGTAAATAAAGTACGACGGGAACTTTTAGCTAGGGTGAATAATCGAATTAATATCATGTTATCACAAATGGATGCAAAGTATTTAATTTTGATTATTAAGTTTGTTCCATATAGCTTTCAGTTTTCTAAAAAAGTAGTAATTATATTAAAATATGTGTCATCTCGCAATCTATTTGAATCTGTTGAATCTGGCTGTAATAATGGAGACCGTCAATATATCCAATTTACGCCAGATTTTTCTTATTGCTCTGAAATATTCTAGTATATTAATATTATATTAGAATGTGTGTCCTCTCGCAATCTATTTTAATCTGGGTGTAATAGTGAAGAACGAGTATGTGTCCAATTTAGACCAGACTTTTCTTATTGCTTTAAAACCTTCCTAACCAGTGCTTATTTAGAGTGATATTTGTATAATAAATTGTATTTAAATTTGTGTGAATTTTTCATATCTTTGCTCTGTTACATATCATTTACAGAATGCGATTGTGGTCCAAATTCTAAGTGTTCCTTCGATGATAAAGAAAAGAAGAAATGCATGTGTGAGGATGGGTTTCTAGAATTCGATGGACAATGTAAAGGTGAAGAATATAACTGTTCTTCCTTTTTTATTTGTTGATTCAATTAGGTCATCTGCTGACTTGGCTTCAAATTCTTTTGACAGAATGCCTGTGTGGTGAAGGATACGTATGTTCTTTCGACAGATTTGGAAATAAAAACTGTGAATGTGAAGATCGTTTTCTTGAATTCAATGGAACATGCAAACGTAATAAAAAACTATTTAAACTACTTTTTTATATTTTCAATAAAATGATTAGCATTCTTAATGGATATGAAACGTATTTTACCTTCCCTTGACCTTACAGTATGCGATTGTGGACGAAATGGAATATGTACGTTCAATTCGCAAGGAAGACCGAAGTGTACGTGTCGTTTAGGTTTCAAAGAATATGATTTTGGTTGTAGAGGTAGGTTAATTTTCTACCTTCTCAAATTTTCTAAATGTTAACGGCAGAAACGGCATAGAAGTGGCTGGCTGAATTTTGAGGTAGATTCCAACCATGACTGCTTCATTGCTGAAAATCTTGAACTTAGCTATTTGAGAAAATAATCAGCAGATTCATTTTGCATCATGAAAATAGTCTGCAAAAACATATGTATAATCCTTGAGTTATTTAAATAACAGAGTGCATGTTTGGATACATAGGCTATCTTTGCACTTGTTTCATTAAGTATTGGAAGAAATGGCTTTTTCAAGTTATAATTAGGTGTCCAATAGAATATGAAATAAGCCACTTGAATTGCCTCAATATTACTATGTTTTCATAATAGACATAATGATTTTACTTATCATTCTTTTGTTATGCCATGCTCTACATTAGCCACATGAATTAGCTTCATGCTGAGTGCTAGGAACATTATATTACGCTTATCTTTAAATATGCTCTAAATCCCAGAGTGCACATTTCAGAAGACTTCCATAAGAATGAGTCCGGAAATCAGAGGATAGCAATGGAGATAGACAGTAGATAATTTTAATTTGATCGTGAAATCTGTGTATTTTGGATTTTTAATAATTGAGTAGTAGTAAGTAGGACTTTAAATCCTAATAACATCCCATACGCTGTGTCGATGGGACATAGATAGGATGTTCTTAGGACATAATGGGATGTGTTTAGGAGGTTAGTGGGATATCCCGGGATGTCCTGAGGATGTAGTAAATAGTAGTTCAGATCCTAATAACATTCCGTACGCTATCGATGGGATTTTGTTAGGATGCCCTGAGGATGTACTGGGATGTCACATTTAAGCACTCGGGAGGATGTGTTTAGGAGGTTCTCGGGATATTCTGGGATGTCCTGAGGATGTGCGCATATCCCGCGAGCAACATCCTCGGGATATCCCAAGGATGATTTTGTGCTATGTGGGTCATAAACATTCATTTCTTATTCAAAGATTTAACTCTCTTTAGTGCAGAGCGAATCCCCATAAGCATCTTATCTATGAGGAGCTGAACGAAAATGGAGGTAAAATGAAAGCTGTTTCAGGAATCAGATCAGTTTCTCAGAACGGGAAGAAAATAAAGGGAATTTAAGTGAATTCTTTCCATAGCACTAGAAATAAATACTAAATGCTTCCCTTTGCACATGCAAATTATATCTTAACAACACAATTGCTATAAATCATTTTACGTAAATCCAAGCTTAGATTAAGATTTGAAGAAAGAGCTTCATTAACCTTATATATGCATAACATTTTAAATTCTAGTATAAGGATATATGACACTAAATCCCTCTGCAAATTGCGCGGATATATCTTCTGCTTCGGTACTAATGTCTGGAGCTAATGATTTAACAAAACTTCCCAAAGATAAAATGAGTTGAAACTCAAACAGATAATGTATTTTTAAGTTTTTGAATAGCCGGACTAGAGTGAAACGAATATAGGTGATCCATATTTCCCTCCAGTTTGGAAACTTTAAGGCACAATAAATGCAACAAATCTAATGAAGTGTTGTATAGCAGAACATCCAGACACCCTTTAAGTTTACACTTGTATAAGGTTTCTATCCAAGTATGTGCTTGAAACCCTATCACATAATTGTACTCGAGAGGTTAGATGGCAATCATAGCTCTAAGTGATAAAAGAAAATAATTGCTGATAAATGCAAAGTTTAAGTGTTAGTCGGATGCGAGCCACCAAAAGCCATTTCATGCGCAATCACAAACAGAAGCATAAACATTTATGTCAGATATGAAAATTCATGTGTGACAAAAGAAGTTCAATGAGACTGTTTGTTTGCACGATTAAAATGATGAGAGAGGCAAGAACCGTCAGCGGAGATCAATGTTAGTCGTACCGATAAGTATTGCGTTGAATACATAAAAAGTACACTGCGTAAAAAATAAATGGAACAGTTCTGTACCACCCGTTCTACTGGGTCTGATTGACGAAATTCAACTAACGTTTTCCATTTTTCGAAAGCACGACTTAGGATATGTATTAGATTTATATATAGCATTGTTCTAAACATTCTCTAATCGTAAAAAGCAAATTTAAAGTTAATTAAAATATAAATTTATAAAATATAAATTTATAAAATGTTTAGAATTAATTTTTTTGGAATATTATACATTTATTCATGGATTTAGATGCTTTCACTTAATTTACATATGCTCTCAGAATTTAAATGATATTGTAGATTAGTTCGCAGCCATAATTAATCATTTATTTGCATGCAATTAAAATTTCATAATTTAAAATTTAAATTTTATTTAACTTTAAATTTGCTTTTTACGAATAGAGAATGTTTGTTAAATTCAAATTTCATTCCTTGCAGCAATGGCTAATGAGTATTATTTAAATTTAATTTAGCTTTACTATTTATTCATATGAAACAATTGTTCTAATATAGGTCTTTGAAACAAACTCGGACATTTTCTGAAATGGCACGCCAGTTTGTTTTCAATATTTCGATTCTACTACTCAAATTATGCCAAACTGCCAAGTATGTAAAAATCTCTTGAGTACTTTAAATCATTAGTTCTCAAAATTTTAGCTCCTGCACGTTAATTGAATTTGGTATATTTTCAGTAATATCACTTTTTTATTAAACCTATTTAATTCTTCCTTTCACATTTCGAAATTTAGGTTCATTCCAAATAAGATTTGCCCATTTTTTGTGATTTAATTTTAAAATTTGTATTTTTAAGTAATTCTTATAAATTTTTGAAAAAATATTTTGAATTATAACCTATAAAATTTTTACCATCGTCTTAAAGTAAAGATATTTCTAAGCCTACCTGCAAAAAATTAGAGTGTCTTATTTAAAATTTCCTAAGATATACGTGGACTTACATTTTGGCACGTTTTGAAATTTGGTTGATTTATTATAAGTGATAATAATGGAAATGTGGCTTACGTACTTCGTTAAAATTATTTCAAAGAATGAATGATGGACCTTTCGTGCATCAATCAAAAAAATGAGGGTAAGTTGATTACTATGAATTAAGAATTCCACCAAGTTAATTATTTTTGGCGCAAAGTGAAAAATGCGCCAAGATAAATTTCTCCGTAAATTTCTCACCAAAAATTACAAAATTTAATATTTAGGCATAATTTGAATCGTAGAATTGAAATTTTGAAAACATTTGCATGTCATTTCAGAAATCCTCCGATGTTATGTAAAAATGCCTGTATTAGAACAATGACTTTATATAAATCTAATATATATCTTAAATCGCTCTTTCAAGACGTGAGAAACGCAATTTGAATTTCGTCAATCGGGCCAGTAGAACGGGAGGTATATGTATGGAGGTGACGTCTTATCATTAAACAGAAATCGCATCCACTGTTCAAAGTATCAGGTTTTATTCCTGGTTCACAGAAGAAAAGATAAACGAGATGAGTATATACAGATGGACTAAATATGTTTAGGAGAGGAATAAGGTTCCAGTATGAGAAGTAAAAGATACAGCTGACCACCTACATGTGGTCACTTTAGATAAGTCCATTTCCGATCGCCTACGCGCGACAAGTAAGCGTCTAGTTGTAGCTCCTGCGCGAGCGTTTCGTTAAACTGCTTCTGTCGGACTTCCCGAACCAAGTGAAAATGTGTTTACCTGGAGAGTTTCTACCGTAGATATAGATAGCGACATCTGGTGCTTCGTTGACGCACGATTCCAACATATAATTGTCTTTTTTTTTCCCGCAGTGTACATTGAAATGATTGGAAAGAACTTTTATGTTTTGATATGCATCCTACGCATGGGGTACCGTACACAGTTATTAAGCTATAAATATTAAAAATCGTAATTAATCTATCCTGCACTGCAGATTTCATAGATTCATAATACTATACACCATTTCCTCGGTGCAATCCTTATCATAAACATTAAGACCCAGGCGTTATTTCATTGACAGAGGATTTATTGTTTGTAAAGTATTTTTGCAAAACTGAATGTTTATTCTTCTGCAATCTCTTTAAATTGTATATCGTAATATACAGTAATTTTCATTGCTTTCTTGTCACTGGACATTAATTTAGGACATTAAAATTTCCCATTTTTGTGAAGTACATAATGTAAATGGTCAGTGCAGTGCAAAAAATTATAAATTTAATTACTCAGTGCCCTTTGGGTGAATGCTGCTCTGCATAGATAGCGTTATTTGGTATCCGTAGTTTAGTTTCGGAATTGCGGAAAGATTTAACAATCGAAGATGGGGGCAGCACTGTTATGAAGTTATATAGTATTATAATATAAGTATATAATATATTATTATAATATAATGTATCCTTGATGCCATTTATATGCATATGTGATTATCTGGATGTATTTAGAACTCACGGATTTCGATTTATAAATTTCAGATTGCTACTGTGGATACGATATTAAAACTGGTGAATCGATTAATTGCTCATTTGATATGTATGGATATAAAAGATGCGAGTGCCCAGATGGTTATGTAGACATTAATGGCCATTGTGAAGGTATGTATATTTATAATATTATATTGGTACAAGTAATTAATATCTATCTGTTGCACTTTCTTCGAAGTCATTTGTTACTCAAATTGTATTTAATTGCATAATTAATTATGGCGTTTACTTAATGGCATTTATGTTATTAACACCAGTCGCCGATAGTTAAAATTATATTTATTTATAAACACTGTAGTAATCCTTTGTGTATAATAGTACATTATAATACATAATTTGAGACAGCAAACTTCAAAGAATTTCATAGCAGGAAGCTGGAAACTGGAAACTTTATCATAAGCATTTATTATTTAAGTCGTGTTACATTCTGCTTAAGAATGCTGTCGAGCAAGTAAAGTAATTTATATCAAACTGATTATGACAAAACACCAATGAAGTTAAAAAGAATAAAATAAAAATGAAATCAGAAAGCTTTCAAGTTTTATATCATGCCCGAACGGGCGCTTTTTCATGTATATTACATGTTTCAAAAGCATTTGGGCTAACGTCACATTGCGTTTTAGAAACAGCCCATTGTTAGACTTTTCGATTCACAGTCTCATGGGTTGAGGACAAAATTGTTTTTATTTCCTACAGTGTTGCTACTCTTCGCTTTGGAATTGTTCAGTTTTTTTAATTAAAAATTCGTTAAAGTTTTACAAACTATGAAATAAACAAGAAAATAAATTCCAAATTCAGGCTATCATTTGTCCATGTTCGGGTAGAGGACTATGTTAATCAAGATTTTTATTATACGCCAGAGAACAGGGGCTCCGTTGCCTTACAGTCTAGCAGACTGCCTTACACCGATAAAAGCCTCTGCCCCCGGAAGCTATCTACTACCCGCTCCACCACAACCAGGGTGGGTGGCAAGTCAGACGGCAATTACTGAGTCTTAAAACAAAGAGATACGTGGGCAAACAAGGCCAGTGTACAACAGAAGTTTCAATACATAGTCTGGATTTAGAATTTTTCTTCCAATACATACGTCATACATTTATCACAGCTAATTTACAATCAGTCCTATGCGACATACTTCAGCCATTAATATTGATTTCAGACATGCAATTTTACACAGTTCTATAAAAATTCCTGTGACCAGGGTTACAGTTACTGTTTTCAGAAAATAAATAGTCTAAATAAACATACATTTTAGATATACAATTATAAGACATTTCTTATTGAGACAGTTATGTACAATTTAACATTAGAATCTTAGGGATACAAAGGAAAACATTGGTATACCAGTCAATTTTAAGCCAAATCTTTTTTTTTTTTTTAAAGAACTTCCTAAATGGCTATATAGGACGTAGAGATTTAATTCTAAAAATCTCTAAATGCATCTTACCGTAAGATAGCAGAATTAAGTTAGATTTACAACAGACCTTAAGCAAAGTTCCTATTAATCATTACTATTAACTTGAATACTGTTGTTGCAATTTAAACCAAGAGTACCAATTAGTTGTATGAGAACTATACACCACAGTATTTGTGATATTTTAGTACATACTTTTACTATTCTATTAAATTTATATTCAACTCAGACTCTTCAAATACAAAACAAAATTTTTTATATATATATATACATGCAAGAGAGTATATGACACAGTTAATAATGGAATATGCAATGAATAGAATACAAAAATCAACCTATAAATACTTAGATACAGTTATTACAACTATACAATTGCTATACATAGCAGTAATACTACCTTCTCTTTTAAAACACTAATAAATACAGACTATGCAACACAGTATTTATGATACTATATTACATACAATTACCATTCTATTAAATATATATTCAATACAGATTATTCTTTCGCAAACTAGATGCATGCAATAGACAGTGACAAAAAACAGTGAATAGTGGAATGAATAGTAATTTCAATACCAACCCTAACTAGATTGTAATATTAACTTCATTATCCTGCAAATACTTAGTTACCATTATTACAATTTTTACAAATACTGTACGCAGTGATACTACCTCCTCTTTTACAATATTGATACATATTAGACTATGCTACACTGTATTATGATGCTATAGAACAAACAATTACCATTCCACTAAATTTATATTCAGCACAGAGAAATATAATAGTAATTTAAAAATAAAAAAAAAACCTAACTTAGTAGTAACATTAACTTCATTAACCTACAAATACTTAGATACAGTTATTAAAACTATTCAAATGCTATACAGATCAGTAATACCACCTTCTCTATTACAGTACAAATACATATAAGACTATACAACTTTGCATTTTTAATTCTATAGTGCATACAGTTACTTTGCTATTATTTTCGGCCAAAATTCCTCAGGTACCAAGCAGATGCATACATGAGAATTCAATGAACAGTTGTTAAGGCATTGAACAGTAAATATAGTACATAAACCCGATCTAGTCAGTATCATAAGCCTCATTTAACTACAAGTGCTTATATTCAAAAGTTATTGCAAATATTCAGATGTTGTACATAGTAGTGGTACTTCCTACATTTTGAAATGCGGATACATACAATACGATACAGCACAATATAGATGATACCATAATTGTTGGAACTACAATTCTATTAAATTTAATTCAACATAGTTGGTACCATTGCATTCAGGATTGTAAAGCTGCTTTGTTAAGAGAATGTTGCTGTGGATTAGTGCATTTCAGAAATTGCAATGAAGCTCTAGTTGAAATCAAGTGAAAATGGAACGTCCACGTACTTTCCCTTCACTTAGTATTTTCATGAGGTGGACAATAAAACTGTTCTCTTTGAGGAGGCAATTCATGACAAAGCTTCTAATTTACCACTTGTGGAGTTAATTTCCTTCGTATAATCCAACTTTTCCAGGGAGCTCGCAGATGTGATCATTGAATCCAACACTTATTTTATGCTGGGAGAGCATGAGCTTGGGTAAGTTAGAGGAATACTAACTCTACTCAATAGGACTACAGTTAGAGGAATACTACTACCTTGAAGTTCTACCTCCACTCATGGAAGAGGTATGCTCTTGACAGAATGTTATTATACCCTTGAGTTTCTAAGATCAAAGAATTTCTTGGGGAGGAGCTCCGCCCATTTCGAACGAAATTGTTCCTGTGGTTTCTTTAGATGTAAACTGGTTGTCATTGCGCAGCTAAAGAGGTAGTGATCAGCATCGCCAATCTCTCCACGTGAGCAAATGTCAGTTTCCGAAGATTGAATCTTTTAAGATAGGACGGAAAAGGGCCGTGTGCTGAGTAGAATTGCGTTAAGTAATTTGCTAGGCCTCGCTGAAGCAATGAAACCTTTAGGAAGAAAGTATGGACCCTTCGTTCTGTGGTTTCTGAAGTCCAACGTTGCTGCCATACCTCCATAAGTTCCTTTAGCGTAATCTTTTTAAGGTGAGAGTACGGTAATTTTTCCGTCCGCTCCTCTCTGCAGACGTTATTTCCTGCTTGTTTTGCGCCTTTGTCTGCCGCTTTGTTGCCGAAAATTCCGACGTGAAGCAAACCCATGAGAAAGTCGGCCTATTCTCTTCCGGGAGTGCCAGGAGTGCTGATTGGATTTCTTATACGATACGATTTCTGCTCAGATAATTCTGAATGGCATGTAGACTAGAAGTTGTCATTGAGAATTTGAGCTTTCCAAGGTTGTTCTGTTTTGAGTAAGCGACTGCAGCCCTTAGAGCAACAAGCTCGGCCTGGTAAACAGTGTTATTGCTGTCAAGCCTTCTATTCCATAGGAACAGAACATTGCCTCCCTGCACTAAGCAAAAAGCGCTGCCAGTACCATTAAGTGTTTTGGAACCGTCAGTGTAGATCGCTTTGTCATTATGGATGTGTTAAGCTGATCGATTTGGAGATACTGCTGCTGGCAGAGTGACCAATTGTATGATATATTCTATTTTCAAAGTCAGTGGCTATATGTTTTTGCCCATAACGTGCAATTTTGGCGTAATCTTAGGACTCTGGAAATCGCAGCTTCTCTTTGTACTAAGAGGTCTAGGGGAGGAATCCCCGCTAATATTGGAGGGCAGCGGTTAAAGTGGTTTTATAGCCTCTGCAGATTAGTAGTAGGTGCTGTCGTTGGATTGTATTCAGGAGGCCTCTCATGTTTTGATTTAGTTGCTTTCCCCAAACTGTTAATCAAGATTGATGACTCTAGGTACCGTTGTTTTTATCCAAGATTTTAAACGGCTAAATTCCAATAAGCATTTAATTTTTATTTTTAACTTAACGGTGTCCAGAATCCGCATCAACATTTATATGCTTGTATGCTTCTTTAATGTAAATGCACATCCAATTGGACATTGGAAATCCGGTATTTGAATCTCATCCAAATGTGCAGATTGTTGTTCAAGTTTATGCTTTGGATAGAAGGGCGAATAAGCGATGAAACTCAAGCTTATAGCTTAAGAGATCGTTATGCTCCAAACACTTATTATATTCCTGCTTATATAAAACCAGAAGTAATAATTAAAAACAAATATATTCCACACCCTATCTAAAACCAAATAAAATTACAAAAGCAACTAAAACAGTACACTGATGAGCACTAAACATTATTATTGGTGAAATCAAGGATTTATATTATGGTTGCTGGAAAGAGAAATGGAACATTTCGGGAAAAAGGAAAGATTATTTCTTGAAATTTGAAGTTTCTAAAACTATGAGAATGATATGCGATTTTGATTACAATAAATAATACTGGGCACGGCGCTTCCCGGCGAACCTGAAAAGATTTAATTTACAAAATAGTAGTCTTAGATTTTTTTGTAGTGCTGAAAACAATGCATGACATTTCGTCGAAAACTGCGCATTAATGCGACAAGTCAGGGAAACACATGGTAGCATAAAGGAATTCTAAAAGAGTTTAGATTTGCAAAGAGTTTAATGAACTGTATAAATGGCCACAGGACAATACTGGAAATTTTGGTTTGATGGTTTTGACTGTATTTCTGTTTTAATCTTTTAACTGTATTTTTGTTTGTCTGTGTTGGGTAAGCTGCTTTAACCAAGAGGTCAATCATTATCGGCCAGGTGGGTTGCAGCACACTGGTATATTACATTACATTACAATACGCGCCGTGTGTGCTATTGTTACACGAAGAAGGCATGCAGAAACAAAGGAAAAATATCTTACAGTTTCACTTAAGTCATTTGAAAAAAAAATTATTCTTTTTAACTACTCTGCAAAATGTATCTAATTTCTATAAAATAACGATATCTCTTCAGGAAGGGATTCCATTTATTTTGAAACTTTAAAAAAAGAAAGATTCTTCTTCTAGCGAAGAATAAGGTTTTGAGAGTTCTAAAGTCAACAAAGAATACCAGTTTAAGAAATTGCTGAATTATGCACCATTCGATGATTCGCACCTTCCATAGGAGTTTTAATTGATCATCATTTAATTTTTTTTAATATAATGCTATGAAATCTTTATAATATATTACGAAAATAAAATCAATATAATAGCTAAAAATATGTTTCTATCAAATCTCTAATTTATAGAAGCAGACAAAAATATAATTATCTGGCACCTCCAAGCAATATAAAACTTTAAACAATATTAATATTGAATTTATAGTATAAGTGCAGCAATAAACTGATATCTGTAATAATATTCTCATTAATAAAATCCCACCTGTTAAAGAAATTTAAATAAAATACTAATCAAAATTAAACACCTGCAAATTTCAGTTATTACATACAAATCATTAGTAATTTGTTAGTTTAGGCAGCTTAGTAAAGCTATTCTTTATTACAGTGAATTTAAGCATAAAAGTAAAGATATTTATAAAACCATAAACAGTGGTAAAATTCAATTTTGACACATAAATTATCAGCACGTTTACAATAAATACATAAACAACGATCTGCAGATGCTTGTCACTTAAGTTCGCTCACCTTACCCTTGCTGTGATGAATCTCAAATGAATTTGAACATTAAGAGGTCATTCCGAGAGTTACTAGCAGTGATTAAATCTTGTTATGGCTTAGGTCTATGACAACGTAAGATTATAAAACGGACATTTTATAACTGGACGTTAACTGATATTCGCAGAAAAAATAAATCGATTTTCCTCTTATCCCTCCACCACGCTAGATGTTTCCATGCTGAAACATCGCTCTTTTAATATTTAAAACCTAAATTATGCTCAAGCACCAGTTATTATTCTTTTGTAAAATAATGGAATGATCATGTTAAAAAGAAAAAAAAATGAAGAAAGGAGGTAAAAACTCGAATATTAGAATTATTCTATTTTGAAAAAGTATATTAAATGTGGTAATATTCATTTTAGAATATTATGAAGTTATAAACCCTTGTGTTTATGAAATTCATGTGTTCTTTGGAAACATTTAATTCTGTTTTTACTCATACTTTCAGCTTCTCGTTATTTGTTTCGATGCATGGAAGCGATTTGTGTCAGATATGATCCAGATCGAGGAATTGCATGCAAGTGCGTATGGTTCTTATTATGCATTATGATTCCTAACTTTGTTTATAAACTTTTCAAAGAAAAAACTGAGATTGAAAGTTATTATAATATTATAAGAAAATCTATACTATATTTTATATTCCAGTGCCTATGTTTTCGATCTGTCCTAAAACCTGCTCCTTTTTGTGAGAATAAAGAGCATTTAAGACGAGGAATTTGAATGCTTTTAGTGATACAGATTTTCACAGTGGCGCTTGAAGCCGTATTCTATCATGCAGCTCTCCCAGTTAATATTTCGGTATTAGCAATTAGCAATTTTTTAGATGACGTTAAATCGCGCCATTAAATTTGAGCTAGCTTAGCTAGGCCAAATTTGTATAGTCTCCAACTACGATATTTCAATTATGTAAATTCCGCTTCATGTTAACTCGTGTTCCTTCCATCCCTACATTTCACTTCCCCGTTGCGTTCATTGCCAGGGTCTTGGACATAATAGTCGAAGCTGTCAAAATCCTCCCTGCTGTCCATCTGCCCAAAACAACATTCCCGTAGAGAGTGTACCTCAAACGTAAAACTCTGTGTAAATTGTGTGCGAAGTAACCAAGAAACTGGTTCTTCGTTACCAACTGATCACGGTGCTTATGAAAGAACATGCCAGACGTAAAGCAGTCAGCTCAACAAATTATTGTACCCGGACAAAGCCACAACCTCACATGTTGCCATCATCCATTATTAATAATTCTTCAGTTGATATTAACATGCAAGAGCGCAATTTAAAGAATAACGCTTCAACTCAAGATTATAACGTGGACAGTGATGTACAAAATAATCTACCCACAACCTTGCTAAAAACTCGATTCCATTTTCTTCAATTCGTTTTCTCCAAATCAACTTACAAAGAGCAAAAACGGCTTCTGATCATCTAGCAGAATTCTTTAACTCATAACCATAAAGACTTTGTTTTAATCCAAGAACCCTATTGTATCGAAGGGAAAGTAAGTAGCATTCCAACGTCTTGGAATGTCTTTCAATATTCTTCCTCAGTCCCCTAATCAACATCCCAGAGCAGCTATCATCAGTTTTAATCATAGCTGGCACCCAATTCTAATTACAGCCAAAAGAGACCTAGTTACAATCAGTCTTAATAGTTCCAACTCTCAACTTCTTATTTCAAGTATTTATGCATCTCCCTCCGAGGATATTTCTCCTTTGCTTCATGATTTAGAATCCATCTCTGTTTCTTCCTTCCGAAGTCCACACATAATTTGTGGAGACTTTCAATTCACACAACCAGCTTTGGGGCTACAACTTCCAAGTCCAAGAGGAAGGTACCTTGAGGAATTCTTCAATTCACATAATCTTGTCATTCATAATCCAAGCCTCGGATTTACCTTCTTTCGAAACAATGTATGATAGAGGGTGGCCAGATCTCGTAGTTACTTCCCATAACCTAATTAATTCGATTTTAAATCGCAAAATTGAAGAAGACAACTCCCACTCAGATCATAATTATATTACTTTTGAAATCAAAGAGAACTCAGAATCAGTTTTAATGAAACGTTTTAAAATTACTAAAAAGAAAGAAAAGAACTTTATTAAGCAAATTCAACAATCCGCACTTCCAATGACTTCTTCCTTCCAACTAAGTGCAACAAAAGAAGATCTAAATAAAGCTACAGAAGATTTTATAACAAAAATCCAAGAAATCTGTGAAAATACCTTTCCAATACGATCTGCAAAACCTTACTTTCATATAAATTGGTGGACTAAAGAGTTACGCGCTCAGAAGCATAAGGCGAGAGCATTGAAACGGAAAATGAAATCGATTACTGATGATGAATTAAGACACCAAGCCTGGCTCAAATTCAAAAAAGAAAATGCAAACTACAAAAAGATGATTCTCGAATCTAAATTAAAAAGCATTGGCACAAATATTGTTCAAACAATAAAGAAATTTATGGCACCTTATACAAGATCGCCAGTAGTAAAATATTTAAACCGTCACAAATCCAACTTCCCTCAAATTTGCTTTCAAGTTCTGCTGAAATTCAGGATGCCACTCTCTCAACCCTAAATGAGATTCTTGACTCTGTCTTTCTAAAAGATGATCCAGCTGAAGATTCGCCTACTCAAACCAGAATCCGTAACTGCGATGACATTCCACAAACAGACAACGATATTCCGTTCTCAAAACAAGAAATAAAGCAAATAATTAAAAACCTAACTTTAAAAAAGGCACCAGGCTCAGATGGCATCGATAACCACATTATAAAATTAATCCATCAAGCCCATCCTGACATAATCTGTAGTTTTTGCAATCGATGTATAGAACTCTCTACCTTTCCTGATTGCCTGAAAATTGGTAATATAATACTCTTCAATAAGAAGAATAAAAGCTCCGATGAACCTAAATCTTATCGTCCGATAAATCTTCTCCCAGCCCTGGGAAAAGTTTTTGAAAGATGTCTTATTGGTCGTCTAAAATTTCATGTTTACAGCAAAAACTTACTAAGCAATAACCAGTTTGGATTTCGAAGCCTACTTTCATCAAGTCATGAAATTAATGCAGCTCTTGAACAAGTCAGAAACAATAAAATCAACCAACTTCATTCTGCAATAATATGTCTCGACTTAAAATCAGCTTTTGATTCTTTATGGTGGCCAGCAGTTTTCCAAGCGCTGCGTTCCTTTAAGTGCCCTAAAAATTTATTTCTAATTATTCAAGATTACTTCAGAAACAGAAAAAGTATGATTCTTTACAACAACACTGAAATTGTGCGTAATCAAGTCCGAGGATGTCCTCAGGGGTCTTTCATGAGTGCAGATCTCTGGAATATCAGCTTCAACAACATCATTGCCTATCCATGACCGGGATTACTCAAAAATTGTAGCTTTTGCAGATGATGTAGCTTTTATTACAAGTGGCCGTACCAGAGACATTTTACAGAATAATTGCAACGAAACACTCCAGTTATTTAACCAACTTTGCAAAATTCAAAACTACAAATTTCACATAGTAAGTCCCAAATCTTAGTGATCCATAAACCAGGACAAAATATAACTAAAGCTTTAGCACTAAAAATTGACAATCAAAAGATAAAATCTGTGAACACAATCAAGTACCTCGGTTTAACAATCGACAAGAAATTCTCCTGGATTCCTCATCTACAAAATATTAAACTTCGTACAACATCAATAGCTAACTGCCTACGACGTATGCATGGATATAACTGGGGCTTAAATCCCCATATAACACGTATTCTTCTAAAAACAGTCATCTCAAAAATGGTAAATTACGGAGCCGGAATTTGGGCACAACCAATGACAGTAAGAAAGATGAAATGTTTAAATTCAATTCAAAGGCCTTTTACTCTTTGCATTACTCGGGCGTATCGCACAACTTCAAATATAGCACTTGATACTCTAGCTGGTACTCTTCCGTTATCAATCAGTGCAGAAATGGAATGCACCTATAGGAAAGTTCTCCAACTTAACCAAGCCGCAGAATTCAACAACCAAACCTTTTGGCCATCCAACTATGAAAAGAAAATTAACCCCAATCTTATCCATCCAGCGCTTCGCTTCAGCAAAATAATATTCACCACGTCTGAAGAAAATTCAAGTTCATCTCCAATTGCTTATACTGATGGATCAAAAATTGAAGGAAAAGTTGGTTCCGCAGTCTTTTCTCAAATTACCACCTCAAATATCATCAAATGGAAAGGCCATCTCCATAATAATAATAGTATTTTCCAAGCGGAATTGTCAGCTATAAAAGCAGCGATTGAAATAGCCATTCTCAAAAATCTCAACGAATTTAGCATAAAATCTGACTCCCAAGTAGCTATTCTAGCTATTAAAAATCCCTTACCTTCCTCTCCATTGATATCCGACATAAATTCTCTTCTTGGAAAAATCCCAAACTACAAAATTCAAATTTCATGGATCAAAGGACATAGTGGCCATTTTGGTAATGATCAGGCAGATGAACTAGCCAAAGAAGCAGCTATTAATCAAGATGGTACTGAAATCATCATTCCGTGGCCTCGCTCGAATTTCAAGTACCAACTAAAACAACTTGCTTCAAAATCTTGGTAAGATTTGTGGACAATGCTCCACAGGGAAGACGCACATATAACTTGATGCCCAATGTAAGCTTAGCATTTCTGAACTCGAATCCTTCCCTAAATTACTTTATAACAGGACATGGACCATTCCCCACATATTTTTACGCAAGAAATTTGGCGAATTCTGACATCTGCATATGTGGGAAACAGGGAACTCCTGATCACTACGTTTTCTCATGCCCCTTAACTGAGGATATTCACATAAAATTCCCAAGAACTGACCTCCTGGCATTCCAAAGATTTTTAATTAAAGATAAACATCAATATCCAAAGTTTCAGAAAATTATGCAACGACTCTCTTCCTACGGCCTAGATCTCTGCCAAGTGTAAATCCACATACAGTTTAAACTTAGTGAACTTTTACATGCTGTAATTATGGACAAAATGGATCTGCTCGTGAACTGAACTTTATAAACTGCAATAAACCAATATATCTGAAATAACCCATGGACACCTACCTCTTTAGTATTATTATAGCAATTCATTTAACATTGTGTTGCCAGTACTAATTATAATTATCTCATTATGTTTATTTGTTTATTAATTATGTTTATCTCCTATTTTTGTTGCACCAAATCAGATGTTCAATTTATCTTGTGCATCTCAAATTGTATTCCTACTATTTTGTAATCTACTTATGCCCTACACCATTATTTTTAATAAATACTGGATGCGGGGCGTACTGTGGAATTGCACGATGTACCATAATAGGCAAACTTTAGACCTTTTGAAAAGCTTCAGTTTATGCAAATTCTTATAAAACTTGCAATTACCCCCCTTTTTTTTCTCTCAAAGAGTTAGTATGGGAAGGCATTACCAGTTGACCTATGGTACATCGCTGGTGTCCCCTATACTTTTACCTTTACCTTTACCTATATTACTATCCGCAAGTGG